TGGAGGGTGGAGGGAGGAGGGAGGATAATTCAAGCAAAGACCAGTCAGGGAGAAGGACGGAGAGAAGAGAGAGGCAGAGGAATGCTGGAAAGGGGGCAGGGAGCCAGAGCATAGTGATGCCTCTTCCTACTTGTGCAAGCACACAAGTTGTAAGCCGCTCCAGGTATAATACGCTCTCAAAGTCTTTGAAAGTTCACTAGGGGTAACGATGAAAGGTTCTGTATATCGACATATCGATAACGTGCTAACTAGAGCTGAACCGCCTTGACTTGAGGGTTCATCGAAATAGAATTCTTTCATTTTGAACAGAGCAGTGTATGAAAGGGTTACGATGAATTAAGATGGTTCTCTTTGTGCTGATTCAATCTTCGTTTGTGGATGTTGCAATGATGTTGAGGAGTGAGAGCTGCTGCTTGTTTCTAAGTGAAAGAGGAAACTACATTACAAGCAAATCAATAACATAAACTACAGCACGCAAGATTGCACTCAGTCTCTCAGGTACTCCTTCAGATACATCCAACGATCATGATGAGTAGGCGGAGGCGAGACAAGATTACAGATGTCAGGATTGAAGAGACAAACCTGCATGTGCATCATCTTACGAAGGAAGGGTTGAGAGGAGTAGCGCACTCACTGTTGCAAACATGTTCTGTTCCTTCCCAGCAAATCGCCCTCGTAGTATGTAAATTTCCAAAGTCTCATAAAAGATGTCGCTCCACTCCTGTCTCACCGGGTGAAAAAGGGGAAATGCAAAGCAATTCTTACTTTGATCGCCTCTTTCCTCCCTCCAAAGATACCTGCCCCAACCCTGTAGATGGATCAAAGAGTATCATCGTAATTGTTGTATCTCCATCCTCCTCTGTGCTTGCGATCCTACTGCATACAATCCTACATACAAGATGCATCTCCGCCTCCCTCAGCTACCTGACTTCGTAGGTGAATATCGGACCAAGAGGATCCGTCCACAGATCTTCTTTCACACCAAATGGCTCGATCTGCAACAGCACAATCTGCAAGCAACAGCACCATCAGCTCTCCACTCCTTCCTCACCATCCTCCCCCTCCTGCCTCACTATCGTCTTCCTCCTTCCCTTCATGCTCCTTCCTCTCTCTACCTCCCCCCTCCTCCCTCCTCCCTCCTCCTGCCTCTCTCACCTTGTCCTGCGGTATCTTCGACAGCCCTCGGCCGCTCGGCCACCTTCTGTACATCTCCATCTCCTCTCTCTTCCGGAAGATCCCCGCATCCACCCAGAGAAAGGTGTCGGAGCTGCCGCTGCCGTCACGGGTAGCACAGAAACGAGGCGAGAAGACTTGAAGGGGTTCATCTCGATGACGCGCAGAAGGAAAGACGTCTTCTCGTTCCAAACCATATACAGCTCAGGTGAGTGATACTGCAGCAGTGAGTCAGACACGTCAGAGATGATGACACAGCATGGTGCACTAGAGATCGCCCGAACGCCACCATCAACCACGCGCGAGAGCGGAGAAAAGGAAGCATTTCACAGACAAGACTTGACCTTCTCGTCGTCCATCTCATAGTGTTGGACGAAGTCATCCTTCCACTTGTACACGAAGAAATCTTGCATCTCTAACATAAGCACCTTGACGTCTGCAAACAGCATCGTCATCGTCATCTCAGATGTCCCTCGCACCCTCACTCTCTCTCTGTAGCCTCAGCTTCTCCAGCAGTCTCCATCCCATCGCGTTCGTGAATACCACTGCAGCACAGACTTCAGCTGACTCCACCACAAGCCCAGCTCCAGACCGATGGGGCTCTCGACGTACTCGAAGAAGTTCATCATCCACTGCTCGTAGACCTCCGCTGCTCGTTTCGATGGCACCTGACAGTCATGCCGTCATCCCACGTCACTCCTCCTTCCCCTCCCCCTCCCAGCCTTCACCGGGTAGTAGGCGGACACAAGGGTGAACGACCCGCCAGCTTCCGACGAGACCTCGGGGCTGCTGCTTCCCGCCGGCTCTTTCTTCTCAGCTGTCTCTAGCGCATCCTCTGCTCTCACCTTGTGCTCGCACTTCTGCCCTTCTGTCGACATCTGCATCCTCATACGGCTCATGGTTCGCCGCACACAAGGCAGCCAAGCTAGAGCGGACTCGTCGTGCACCTCGTTGTAGTCCGAGCTCTGGAACCATCGCTCTATCCCACTCCTCGTCTTCGGGTTCAAGCTCTCGCTGTGCTGGGCGTTGACTCCGTCCTTGTTCAAGTGCTTCCACATGGCATCCGCCAGGGATTTCGTCTTGTAATGGTGCAACCGCAACAGGTTGCTGGTGAAGTCTCCATCCTCGCTCTCTGTCGGCAGGAGAGAAGAGTCGTCATGCATGCGCACTCCTTGCTCGTTCACCGCAAAGTATCCATCCTTGTAGTAATGGTTGTGAACGGCGCACGCTGAGATCCTCTCTCCTTGAGCGATCACCTTGAACGCGCATGTGTCTCCGTTGCACTCAGCCTTCGCTCTCCGCTGCGTGTAGCTCTCAATCACAAGCCCCTGTGGCGGACGGATGTGTCCTGACGAGCCGAACAGCGTCCATGGCACCACGACGCCGCCATAGTCTACAAACCTCTCGAGCACCTCAGGGAGAGTCTGAGAGGAGTTGGAAGGGAAGAGGAACTCGTCGACGTCTATGAAGGCCAACCACCTGAGAACGAGAGGATCAGCCGCCTCAAGAGACGCTTGCGAGGTCTTGATCTTACCTTGCTCTCCTAGAGTATCGCTCTACGCAGAGATTGTACGTCGGAATTTGAGGATCCCTCACGTTGACTGCTTGAGCCACTGTAACAAGGCCGCTGGCAACGTACGGCTGCAAGATCTCTTGGAAGCAGAAGTCGCTGGGCCTGTCGAAAAACAAGAAGAAATGCTCGATGCCTGTACAGAGATGAAATGACAACCATTCTGAGAGAAAACGATCCTCATCGCGGAATATCGTGCAGGCAGCAACTTGAAACTCGTACTCTTTACTAGCCAAGCTGCAGGAACGAAGACTGCAAGTTTGATTTGTTGTACATGATGTTTCACTTGCTATGCCATTCAATCCCGACAGACATGGCAACGTCGCAAGCATTGGTATCAGCATGAACGTCACAGCACGCATTCTTCCCCTTCGCAAGCGGCTCCATTACATCACACTTCCTCCCAAAAGCCAGCTGGGGATCTCGGCAACAATATTTTATTGAATGTTTATTGATTCTTTTATTGTTCTGACTCAGTTGCCACATAGCCGAAGCCCGACCGGGGCCGGGCCCCGGACTCGCCACCGCCGCGCTGTGGCCTTGTTGTACGGAGGGTGGGGTCATCTCAGGTCACGAGCAGGGGTGGTTGGGGTCATGTTGACAACAATTGCATCGGGCAGTTGGCGGGCAATGAGGGAAGGGAAGGGGAGAGATCAGTACGGTCTGCTCGCAGTGCATGCTGTATGGCATCCACTCATGCGACCGCCGACAACTTTGAGCCATTCAGCCAGGAGCAGACGTGTTACCGTAGTGCTGCGATGAGATGGTACAGACAATCTCTCTTTGATCCTGCTTTGCAGGCATCTCCACCATTTTATCTAGATGCCATCGGATCTGAACCAATGAGCCTCTGACAAGTGAAGGGCTACTCAGAATGAGCCAGGGTGAGAACAAGGCAGCTGCATCATAGGCTCTAGCTCACCTTCTACCAGAAGCCCCGCGACCCACATCTCGATCCTCCCTGAGGCCGAGATCTTCAGGCAGATATTCCATGAAAATGCTACAAGGAAGTTGATGCTTGTTCAGAAGGAAACTTCGTTGCCGCGCCGCCAGCTCGCCCCCCGTCACGAGGATCTTCTTCCGGTAGCCTTGAACCTTGTCCTTGTACTCGCTTCCTCCTCATCTTTGTCGTCAGTCATCAGGAGGGTCCATGGAATCGAGGTTCCGCATTCTTCTCCACGTTTCTGGGAGTGACGAGAGGCAAAGATCGCAGCTGACAAGGGGGGGGCAGACTCTTTGAATCACTCTCCGCGAGACGAGGAAGAGGAGATGCAGGAGGAGAGCGGCGGGAGGAAGATGAGGGCAGAGGACGGACTGATCCTCCAGGGCATCGTAGGAGGCGCAGTGGACCCAGAGGTCTACTACGAGGAGAAAGGAGGAGAGGACAAGAAAGCAGCAAGCAAGCCTGCAGTCAATGATCTGCTCGGACCAAGAGTGGTCAAGGCAATCGACGAGTTCTCCAGATCCGTGAGAGAAATTTCATCGCAACGTTGTGTTGTTGGTTGACATGCTGTTGTTTCCTTCTTTCCTGCTCCACAGCTGGAACTTTCTACGACCACTTGGAACGAGATGAACATGCTGCTGCAGGTCCCTTGAAAGATCCAAACTTGCGTTCAGAAAAGACTCGCAGGCGATGCTGAAGGAGAGAGGCGAGTTGTTGAAGACGATCTCGAGGTCAGACTTGCAGCCCCGTTGCAAACCTGCATGTTGCAGGACTCACGAGGTTTGACAAGGCTGGAAGAAGATCTTGGTCAGCTCTCAGGTCTGCTCACTCCTTGGAAAAGTTTTTGTCTTGATGCCTCAAAGATCAACGGGCGAGGGAGCACGAGCAACACAAGAAAGAGGTGGAGCCTCGCGCTCTCTCTTGATCTCGCAAGTACAAATTGACTCGCTTGGTTACAAGATGGAGGAAGCACTGAACAAGGCAGCGGCAGCCTCGCAAGCCTCTCTTGATGAGGGTTGAGCACTATTGTTGTAGATTTTGCCAGATGAAAGTGTTGTATAGCACGTGCAAAGTGGCACAGGGAGACGGCAGATCAGCTCAGCAGCCTGCGCGCAGTAAGTCACAAGGAACAAGGATGCCTGAGGTTTACCTGGTGTCTATAGGAGGGCGAGCGAGATAAAGAAGCTGCCCTGGCAGACCTTGCGAGTCAAGCAGGTTTTCTGTGAGACTCTTGGTTACTGTCAGTCAGCGAGACATGTAGATCAAGACCACCAAGAAGCTCTGGAGGTCGCCCGTGTGACGGCAGAACAGGTGCAAATGACGGATCGTAGCAGGCTCGCTGACTGGATCCTCGCAGGAATTGCTGGAAGCGTTGAGTGCCGCTCGTCAGGTAAGGACCTGTCTTTGAGCCTGTTTGGTACTGATGCATGGATGAAGCGAGCAGAGGAGGAGAAGCTCGAGGCCTTGACCGTCAGTTCCGTCGGAGACTTTTCTTGCCGTCTGAGATGAACTACAGATACTCCGGCAAAGAGCTCTGCAAGAGCAGCAGGAGGCGATCGACGAAGTCGTCTTTCCCTCCCATCCTCGTTCCGCTACTTACTTCAACGATCAGTTGCGCCGAGTGCACGAGTTACAAGTTCAGGTCGAGATGTCAAACGCCTGAGGGATCGTGACAGCCAACTTGACAGGAGGCTGTCAACGAGGCTCTTTCCAAGGCAGATTCTCAGAGGGAGAAAGGTAATCTTTATCTCATCGTCCTAGTCCCACTCATGACCCTAGTCCTTCTCGTCCTCCTCTTCCTTGTTCCGTTTCTCCTCCTCTCCTTTCGTTCTTTGTTTATCCTGCTCCTTTCACATAAAGACCAAGTGACATGGGCGTGCCAGCAATCATGCAAGAGCGAGAAAAACTACAGCAAGAGTTGAAGAAGTCATTGTTCCCCGAACGTCTCAAGAGCCTCACATGTCAACAGAACCATCTCGACGGAGCGTGAGAGGATGCAACAGGAGAAATACCGGGCACTTGCCGGTAGCTCAACAAAACTGCAGAGGGTAGCGGCTGATGCTTCTCTGATGCCTCAGAGGAGCGAGAGAAAGCGAAGCTTGCGCTCGCTCGTATCGAAGCGCTCGACATGGGTGAAGTCCTCTCCCGTTCCATCCCTCTCCTCTCGCTCCCCTCTTTCCTGCTGCTTGTCCTTGACTTGTGTAATTCTCCTCAAGAACGCAAGAGAAACGAGGACATGAAGCTTGCGATCGAGAAGGCTGCCTCCATCGAGAAGGCCATGTGCGCGAATTGTTCCCAAGAGTTCATCGTGCAGGTGTCTGCACTTATCCTCCCCCTCCCTCCTTCCTCACTCTTGACAGGACAACAACGTTGGGAGCTGCAAGTGTATGTTCAACCCCAACAGCGTGGCCCAGGTCCTCCAGAATCTCGTCGCTTTCCTGCCTCATCCTCAACCAGGTTCATGTGGAGGGATATCTCTGGCATGCAGGAGCAGAGCTGACCAACTGGGTGAAGCTGAGAAGAAGGCAAGACGAGGAATCGGCAGCATAGGGGCTGACATGGAGCGCAGGTGGTCGTGCTGCCCTCAAAACGAGGTCTTTGGAACGTACGAGGATCTGAAGAAAGTTGGATGCCGAGCCCATATGGCCCTTTAAGACCCTAGCAACAACTTGACTATCAACAGTTGCATGTGTTGTTCAAGGCATCTAGGGAGTGAAAGTGAATTTGTTGTTGTTGTTGTTGTTGTTGTTGTTGTTACACATGGTGATCACACCCTTCTCATGCTCAGGCACGGGACTCGAATCCCGGGGTCAAATCGTGTCTGGGGTTCTCACGCAAATATTTCTGATGCGGAAGAATCAACGTCAGCTCGCTCATGGCCGAAGCATTTCAAACTGACCTGTGAGCGATAGCTGTAGTAGATGGTCACGGTAATGAGCAGGAGGAAGAGAATCACCATGAGATGGGTGACCTGCGGAGGAATCAGAGTCAGCTCTGAAATTTCACGGGGGACTACGACATCGAGTCGAGGTCACGTTACCTTGTCCGTGTGCCCAGGGATGTAGTGGCTGTTCTGTTCGGTCGGTTTCTCATTGATCGCCTATATCACCAGGGAGCTCACAAAACAAGAAACTCCAACGACTCAGGTGTCACCTTCTCAACAGAGTCGATGAAGGTTGCTCCAGTTCCACCCGCTGCCGAGACAACCGTAAGAAGTGTTCAAACAAAGAATCTGTGGCTGATATCACATGGCTTGTCGGTCGCTTCTGCAGAGCCGCCGTCAGCTGGTGCTACGGCAGGAGCGGCAGGTGCGGGGGCAGGGGCAGGGGCAGCTTCCTCTTGGAGCGTTTGATGCTTGCTCGGAGCGTTTGCGATCGCAGTCTGCGAAAGCTGCCAATCAAGATTCAAACGATCGAAGACAATGATGGGTTGAGCTACCTGCTGCGAGCTCCCGCGATGTCCACTGATGATGATGGCTTGAAGGCGGCAACCATCAACGTTGGAGACTCGAAGACAGTCAAAGGATTTACCTAGTAGAACTGTGCAGGCAACAACAGCAGCGACGGTGTTCCTTGACCTGCGCCTACTCCTTCACTCTCTCGGCATGATGTAGGAAAGGGCCTTGCCTTCTCGTCTCCTCCGACGCGCTCGTCCCTCTTACGCTCTGGAACATCAGCAGGCACGAGTCATGCGGCAACATCAGGAGCAGAGGGTTCTTGTCTTGTTTCCCTCACCATGTTCGGCGCTACGGCGCCATAGGCAGGAGGATCGATCGCCGCGTTGGTGATCGCCATGGCGATCTATTTCCGGTCCGGAACCCCTCTTGACTTTTTTTTTTGGTATCTTTCACTTTTACACAGATGTTTTTTTGAATTTGTTTTAGTTTTTTTTATTTCCCCCGACAGGAGGCTGGTCTCATCAGGTCTCATCAACCCGCGTCTCCGTCTCTCCCCTCCTTGCTCGTCATGCTGACCTGAGCGCTTGACGCTGCCATCCAAACCCCTCAAGTCCCTCCCCCACAGTCCAGACGGGAGGAGACGAGGACTACGATGTGGAACGTGTCTGACATGTGCGATGACCTTCATCACAGGGACTTCTCCTCTCTAGATATGCTCAAGCTTATATTCCCCTCCACCTACTCCTTCCTCTCCCACCAAGTCCCCTATCTGCTCGGTATCTCCGTCATCGACAGGCTGTTTCCTCCATGGACCGTCCGGCAGTGCCCGGAGATCCGCTGGGAGGTTGAGCTTCCAGAGGAGCGAAGACTCTACTTGAGGAACCCGACCCTGATCCTCATCCAGCTTTCCGGGATCCTGGTTGGGATTGTTGGTGCGCTCCACTGGTTTCATGGGAGTAGGAGGAGGAGGGAGTTGGTAGCACAGACTAGCACGTGGTGTCTCTCTTGGAGCTGGATGTTCTCCTTCCTCTGGTTTGCAGCCATGAACGCATCCTCGGTCTTGGTAAGCAACCAAGTCGCGCCGGTCCTGCCTCACCCTGCCCCCGCAGGTCCACTCCTTCTTCGAGCCGATCTCTCCAGCATGGCGCCTCTGGCTGGCCTGTGACGTGACAGCTACTGGCATGGCGTCAACCAACGCCTTGCTCGCCATTGCTCCTCTTCCACAGCTCCAGGGATCCTTGACTGCCGTCACCTTGCTGAATGTGCTGCTGGGGACTATTGCCGCAAACTTGTCCCTGCTGGAGTGGAGCTGGCGGGAGGAGATGTTGTACGTCCTCCCGACGATCATCGCAGGTTTGCCTCGCCTGCTGTGGGGACGCAAAGAGCTGATGATGTTAGCGCTTGCCCTCTCTTTGAGCTTCCTTGGAAGGGTGAGGCGGTCAGAAGCCTCCAGGAAGGTCAGAGGAGAAGAAGAGGGGAGAGAGGGGAGGAAGAGGGAGGGAGGGAGGGAGGGAGGGAGGGAGGGAGGGAGGGAGGGAGGGAGGGAGGGAGGGAGGGAGGGAGGGAGGGAGGGAGGGAGGGAGGGAGGGAGGG